AAAGGAAAATAAAAACTATCCTTGGATTAAAGCGTTTACTCACAGTAAATGAAGGAAAAAGCAAGCAAGCAAACAAGCATGCCAGCAAATCGATAAGACTAAAAATATGCAGTTTGAGGGGAACTTATAGCTACTCAGGTTACATAAAAAGTCTAATTTTGTACCCACCTCCTCGATAGTCAGTTTTCCATTTTTGTCCCCATCCAAATATTGAAAATAATCAACATGCAGTGGCCCATCTGCAACAAAACATTTTAAAAAATTTTATGTCATGGATCAAAATCTTAACAATGAATAATCATGAATCATGGGTACATTGTATTTTACCGCAAAACATTGAACGAAGCTGCCTAATAATGAGCGGAACTTCCGTAAGTTACGACCAGCTTTCCATCAATGATAAAAGGAAGGGTTGACAACCAAAATAAAGTGCGCCCGATATGGGACTTGAACCCATGACCCTCAGATTAAAAGTCTGATGCTCTACCGACTGAGCTAACCGGGCTCACGGAATAGTATTTGTTGAAATGAAAATACCCAATGCTGGCATCAGAGTATGAGACTTGGAATTGACTTTATTTTTGATTTAGAAGTGCACTGTGCACAGTGGACGCATCAGTTATCAATAAGGTCAAGTTACATTGCAGTTGCACGGTGAGTTTAGCTAAAAATACAGTCAAATGCAACTCCTCTGTTCCCTTTGAAATCACTGGCTCGTATCTTACTTCTGATGTCAGGGATTTCAAATTCACTCCAGGACTGTAGTCCTCCCTTAGCTGTACTGGTAACAAAGCGTTCTCTTTCCGCAAGATTAACCATGTGGCCACACTCTTCCTCAGACAGAAAATTGGGAATTTCTGGAAATGAAGAGATGATGCCAGAAGAGATGATGTCACCGACCACAGTTCCTAATCATTAGCAACAATTATTAACGACAAAGCCATGCAAAAGCCTACAAACACTTCTAAAGTTTCATCAGCGAATTACTGTAAAGCCGTTGTAACGTTTGTTCTTTGACCATAACCGTGCAGCGTGAAAGGTCGTGAAAGTCTTACAGATACCATTACCCCTATCACAATCATTACCATTAAGAATAAAGGTAAAATTTTCCCGCCGAAAGGAAAGAAAATCGCCAACAGGCATATAAAACTCCTACAAGTATCCATACCATACGGTAAGATGTAATTTTTTTGGAGCAGTCTTACCAAACAAAAGAGGCCTCATAGCTTTTGTAATCCGCTTTCTCACAATATCACCAAGATCAACATCTTCAACGTGACCAACCTATGACGAAATTTTACGTTTAAAATGTGACTTTATTTATATGGGCGCTATAGCTGAAAAATAAATGTGGCTAGACACAGCAACTGTAACAAAGACAGCCAGGAAAGTTTCGAGCGAGTTTTAAATTAAGGTGATATCCATGTACTTTATTCGCTACGATCGCTAAAACTTCCAGGGTTTATCTTTGATGACCAATATTGGAACTAAGAAACGAAAAACATTATACAATGAAGTTTTAACCAAGGAAAGAAATCGCACCGATCGCAGCGATGAATCCGATTCAATTACGACAATTCTCGTAACGAAGTACCGCGTGGACAGCGCCATTCCAAGATGGCGGCAAGCGCTTCTCGGAAGAGCAATCATTGATTTGGACAGCCCTACTTGTTTGGACTGCCTTTTTTCAGTCAAGTTGGTGTTACTAAGAATAATTCGCGGAAGCACTGCTTGATCAATTTTGCTTTGGTGATTTTCAAAAAGTGCCGGTAACCGCCCTCTATAATGTTAGTCTTATCGTAGTTCGCCTAAGTAACTTAGCGACAGATTGTCTTCACGTACGGGATATTTTGCCAGTGTGTTTATGGGGATATTCGAACGAACGCATTCACAAACAGAATGATAATTCTAATTCGCACAAGTTGTTTTTCTTTTTCTTTATTCCCGAACGAATTATATACCTGTGCATGTTAATTTGGCTGACCTAATAGGAAAAATAACATACGTACCATTTCGATCGGTTGTCAACTTGCATTGAGGAGCATGGGCAACCTCAAAGCCCAAATACAATGATCGTTAGCTTATGGCAGATTGTGACACCTTCTGTAATGGAGTGAATTAATGAACTTAAGAAGATTTAATAAAACCACAAGTCTTACTTTAACGCCATTTATTCTTGTCAAACCAGCCTTCCTTCCGATAACGCATGGTTCATCTCCGCTTGAATCAAACTTTTTGTAATCGCATCTTTGCCCCTCCCGTACAAACCTACAAACGTTATATGTTCGATTACTGGGCTTCTTTTCGCAGTAAGCTGACAAAGCTAAAAGTGAGCAAAGGAGACAAAACTTCCATCGAAGACTAAACAAGGTCATTGTTTATCGCTGTGAGAATAAACAGTAGTTCTCTTATTTAGTTTTTTATTTAAACGCCGTGGTTTGAAGCCACCCGTGACTCGCACCGAAAGCATAAATATTAATCAATCGTGTTTTTTGAACAATGTATGTTGCAAGACGTGGATCAGTCCCTTAACATGGCTCTGTAATTCTAAGACTGACTGGAAACTCAAATATAAATTCGAGATGAGCCATTAAAACTAGAGAAAAATTAAACAGTTTGACTCATTTCAATTTCAGACTTAACGCCTCGATCTATAAATCTTGTAACCTAAAGCTTTAAGCTTGAATCAGGTAACAGGTGGCTATCGCGTTTCACACTTACAAACAGTACCTACCCAGTGGACAAAGAGAAAGGGCCTAACCGTATAAAGGCACCAGGAAGTAAGGTCATTGACACCAGAAAACTGGGTCGACTTCACTACTAACTTACAATTAGGGGTCTGAATGTGTCAAATGAGCTGTATGACATACTAAGTATTCTGTCAATTATTTGATTAGTCGATAGAGGAAGGACCTTCAAGTCAAACCTTCAGTTCAGAAGAATATTCTGTTAACAGTTAATCATTGGTCATTCCAAGTTTTATGGATTTCAAGATGATCTGGATCTGTGGCGATGATATCCCTTTCGGCTTCTTTTCGTTTTAGATTGAATTATTCAAGAAAAAAAACCGCACTGAAGAACACGCAACATTGTCACCGCGAAAAAAAAAAGACAACGTCTTACATGACCTGAGAAAGCGAGAATAGATTTTAATTAATTCCCATAATGATAATTTTCTTAGCCTAGAATTTGTATTGAATTGAATTTAGTCTATTCTGGATAGCTCCTTCAGGTTTTAACTGTTTAGATATCGTTTAATAATCTCGTAGTTTCCATTCCTGAGTTAATAAAGTTCGGGTATGCAAAAGGTTTAAGCATGTAACAACTCAGCCACGAGCTTGGAATATGAGCTGAATCTTTATGCAGTGCAGCGATCCAACTATCCTCGTTCGCTTTCAAAATCATAATGTATTGAAGGGGATTCAGTAACTCTATTTCATTTAAAAAGGCGATTACAACCTGTCGGAATCTGAAAAAATGAGCGTTCCTCAGTAGGACCAAGATGGAATTTATCGTGCTGGTTTCCGTACATTAAGGCTAGCTTTTCCTCGATAGCGAAATGAACAGTTGATAACAAAAGGACAAAATTGGATCTCGCCCGATATGGGACTTGAACCCATGACCCTCAGATTAAAAGGCCAAGCAATTACTCTTCGCCGGGGGAAAGCGGGGGTTTTTTATGGGGATCACTTGTTTTTCAAGGGTAACAGACGAGGGATTAGTCGTCGCCAACAGGCAATTGGCTTCCTATTAACTGTTAATGAAGGGGGGGAGGGTTACTCCACCCCAGGCGATAAATAATGACCAGTTCCCAATTTCCTAGTTCCCACGAGTCCTTTCAACCTGCAAGTCCATGTATGTTGGTCTTATATGTAAAAATTCAGCCACGAGCTTCGAATGTGAGCTGAATCTTTATATGGAGCACTGATCCAATTATTAGCGATCCATTTTTCGCCTTTTGTGATATCACATCCTCCGTGTAAACTATACTGGTCCATCTCTCCCAGCCATCCGCTCTCTTTATCCATAAAGTGATTATACCACATCACAGCGGTTCCCTTTCGAGGCTTGATGACTAAGTTCCCCACATGACAGTTGTGACTCAGATTAAAATAGTCCAGCGTGCCGCGACTGTCTTTTAAGTACTGTTGAAAAGATAAATAGACGCTACCATTAACCTTGATCGATTTATGTCGATGTTATAGAATTCTATTTGCAAAGAAAGAGACCGAGTTACGATGATCCGTCCGACCCTAGCTTTCACTATGGTTTTCTTTGGGATTGCGCACGCGGGGTCTTCCGGTCACATGATAAGTCTTGTCATCTCCAAAGTTCCTCATTTTGTATTGAATTCATCACCTACCTCAAAATTTAAGGTTTCGTTTTCTGCAACAGGAAAGGCTGTTTCACCTCCACCTTCCACGTCATTAAGATAATATAGAATGGTAATATACCTAGGAGAGGAGAAAGTATCCGGCAATTTTCATGGCTTGTAAAGTAAACTTATTCACTGAAGCTCCGTAAAGCTTAGACTCGCTTTTACTGGTCGAGTGTGATATCCATAATTTTGCCACAGCGGGAGCTTTGCTTTAACCGTTTTGACAAAATTTGGGACTCGAAATTTCCGAGATGATAATTACCGTTGATGATCTAATGTCAAACAACCTTCACTGGCCAAAACAGAATTGAGAGGCAATAATACTCAAGCACAGTAGAAGTTGTTTAAAAAAAAAAAGTCAAACTAAATTATCAAAAGTAGAGCGGGGCATCATAGAGTAAAGTAAGGCTCGGAGTATGTTTTCAGAAAGCTTTCATTTTTGCTCAATTAATTGGTTCATAACTAACTGATTACGCATAATTGAGTCTCATAAGTCATTTTAGACACTAACTACTTTTTCCGTGAATACATATAAGGCAGAACATCTAACCTGCAAATCCTGCAGGGATTCTCAAAGCTCAACATATCCACTTCATGTTGTTGATGGCAGCAAGGGACGTCGGTCCTCAGGTGAGTTTCAGAATCATAATGGGCGTGGTAATGACCATTTTTATCATAATAAACAACCTGAAAGGACACGTGACGAGCAATGAAATGAGTTCTGTTAAAGGTAAAGTCTACATTTTGGTCTCATATGGACACCTACGTACTCTACCGGTTTCTAAAGCACAAAGTGGGTAAAAAGTTTGCCAGTTTAATTTGTTGCACGTTACCTCCAGCATTTTTTTTTTATCTAAGTTCACTTGTAGTGGAGTTGAAGAGAACCCGCTGTATGCATTCGAAAGGTTGCGATTCATGGACATCCCAAGATGTTATCAATGATTATACTCTAAAACTGATAGAAAGTTCATCTTAAACTTATTCTCACCTGGAGTCTTTCACTTCCATAAATGATTTCTCTTGGAAGCTTTGTTAACTTAATTACTCTAGGAAAAGAATTACGAAAATTAAATTACTGTCTGATGGGTCGTATACATGGATTGTATCTGGTTTCGGAAATGGGAAATCGATAAGGCAACGGGAGGCAAGTGAGATTAGAGTAGTCAGTTAGAATACTAATCCATCCCTCAATCCATCCAAACATTATCTATTGTCTTTTACGCATGTATTTATTAGTGTCAAAAGCAATCTGGGTTTGCTGTCCTTTTGTTTTACTTCGCTCTACGAATGGTCCAGAAAACTCGCGCCATTCTGTCAACCAATCAGATGCAAGACTAAAACCAGTCACGACTTGGTCGCTCGCGCTTTCCCGCGCTTTAGGAAGTTTGGTCGGTTTTACTTTGTGTTCTCATTGGTTCCTTAGGGTATTTACCTTTTTTCAGATCATCCGTTGTGATTACTATGGCTTCAAGAAAATATGCGACATTCTTAAAAACATGTTTCAACAGTTCTTCTGTCATCTTCAGTTCTAATTTATACAAAGTACAAAGTTGAATTTAAAGTGCATAACAAAACGCTCATTGGACAAATGTTATTCTTGTTATACACCTTAAATTCAACTTTGTAGTTTGTATAAATCAGAACTGAAGATGACAGAAGAACTGTCGAAACATGTTTTTAAAGAAGGTCGCATATTTTCTTAAATTCGTGACATATCTGCTGCTATCTAGATATCTTTACCATAGCTTTGATTTAACGACAATCAATCGAAAAATGCTCGATTCATTTATCGTACCTTTCAATGATTCTATCTAAGGTAGGATCTTTGAGGTATCTCTGGTTCAAAAAGGTCTGATAACTATAACGAGCCCTGTATTTAGGATGAGTTTTTCCTGCATGTGCCATTATAGTGTCAGCCCCACGAGTATTCATATTCTCGAACTCTTCAGGCGTGATTACTCCTGAAAAAGAAAACACGTTACATTTCAAGTCAAGCTTGGGGCAGCTTTCGTGCATACGCTAGCGCTTTGAATCGTGCCGTCAAGTGTTCACGTTTAGAGACGAGAATTCACTAATAATAATAAGTTTCCTTGTAACGTCAAGAGAAAATGATGAACCATAATTTTTTTTTGGTAAAATAGAATTAAATTCATAAAATTTAATCATTTTTTAATAAATTTATTTGAGCCTTGCATAAGCGCATGTCCTATAGAGCAAATCTTAATGATTTCTTTTCTGCAGACCTGATATCCTTGAGAACTTGAAGTGCAGCCTTAACTCTCATAACTTAGGACGTTATCAATTGACACAATGCTTTCCTAATATTTGTTTTTTCTTCAGAGACATCATAAATATACAGAGACTTGAAAATGGCGTAGTGGAAAGGAACCCCTGGCTATCTTGGGCAAAGTGCATGCATGCGCAGAGACAAGATAACTAACAGACGCTTAAAAAGCATAAAGCTGGTAGTTTCTAAAGAAACAGTGAAGTTACGTCGGTGGGAGAGTATAACAAGGTAATTTGGTATTATCAACTGAGTTGATAACCAAAATTGGCCACCGTTAATTGAAATTTAATTGAAAGCTGACGTTTCGAGCGTTAGCCTTTCATCAGAGCGAAAAAAGCAGCTTAGCTTAAAAAAGCAGGCTGGTAGAACGAGCGAAACTTACCATCGTCTAACTCGGTAACGTTCACCTTGTGAAGTCTGTGGTACATTAGATGATAAATCATAAGTTGTGAGATAATAAATACTATTTATTGTTATCAAAGTTGCTCTTTAAAGTAATACAGCCCAACGTTAATTTACTGTCTGAAGTTAAGGGTATAAGAAAATGACTCACAACTCCATCAAATCTTCTTCGCTGAAGACGGCGTAAATATATTTCTTTCCGAACTCGACAACCTAAAGACAAAAATTCAACAATAATTCTATATGTTAAGACGACTTTAAGACAAGGAGATACATATGGTCGCTTACGAATGTACCGTGGTCTGGGAGGTCTACATGAGACACAAAACTTATATTAACTAAGATGTCACGAGAGAAGGAATCCAACTAAAAAAACTTGAGCTAAAGTGACATGGAAAACTTATGAAAATGACATGACATGTAGTGCATGACATGACGCGACGCAATGACGACATGACAAGTAATATATGCCATAGAAAACAGGGGCTACAATTATCGCTCTATACTCTCACGAGAAAAGGTGCTGACTATACATTTTGATGGAATGAAATGTGAAATTGATTTTGTTGTTGTTGTTGTTGTTGTTTGTTTGCCTACCTCGTCCACTGTAATTCTTTGGTCATTATTTATGTCCCAAGCACCAAAGATTCCCGCTACATCTTGAGCTTTGCCATCTGAGATAGTTGAAAAAAAACATTGTCAATGTCATAACCAGAATTTGGACTCAAGTACAATTCTGTCATGCGTGTCTTCTGGAGGGTGTTGTAACTGACTTTCACTACAGCCGTATCGGTGAAAAAATTTTGAAGGTTTACCACGCTGCTTACCAGCAGGTTGGTGAATATCTACCATTATTCATCTTTACTGCGGTGAACTTGATAACTGGTAAATAGATGGTGCACATAAAAGGTTCCAATGAGTGTTGTGAAGACACCTATGGCCCGCTCCATGAAACGCCCGTGAAACAGGCCAAACGATGAGACGATGGTAAAAGTGTCTACGTTCCACACCTTCCTAAAAAAGTCATGTGGGTTCCTTAATATTTCCTTCCAGTTTGGGTTGAAAAGGTGTTCGAGCCATACATGACCAAAAATTTAATGTCACAGCCCAATTGCGCGCTCATCGAGGCCAATTTACGGTTGTTTTCTGGTGAGAGTCCAGTGATGCACTCATTTATTAGGCTGCTTAATCTATTAGAAACCTTATAACCTTATCGTGAACTACTTACGTTCAATTTTCGGTATTTCTAAATCTTTTTCTGTCGTAAGACCTCCCCTAACCGAACTTGATAACAGGCCATTGTTTTCAGCTAGCTTTATTATGTAGTCACATTCTTCATTGGTTAAAAAATGTGGTATTTCTGGCGAAAACAAAAACAAAATAACAATAAAACACCAACACAAAAAGAAAATAAACCAGGTATTTCAATTGAATCTATATCTATATTTGCATTAGTGAGTGAAGAATAAAGTCAGCTTCTCGAAGGCGGAGTAGCGAAGTGCAGATCGCTCACGCACTGTGCCATTATCAGTATGGGCCCCTAAAAAGGAACAACCTCAGTCATGCGATGGAGAGGGTGTTCAAAGTAATTTGGTAATTACAGACCCTGTCTTATACTTCCTCTTGGTAATCTTTTTTCTTAGCACCCAAATATTTGAGTGACGAGAGTACGAATAAGTTCTCACTGGCTTATGTGTGAAAAGGAAAAGATATAAACTGTTGTATAGGAATTTGAGCTCTCCGAGCTGAAAACAACCATTTAGGTACGCAAGATCGGTTGAATCTTGTCCTAGTCACAAGAAAAAAAAATCAAATTATAATAAATAATAATAATGAAGGATTTTTATAGCGTCTTACCCATTTTTAGAGGAGGCGCGGTGGCCTCGTGGTTAGTGCGCTCGACTCCGGATCGAGTGGTCCGGGTTCGAGCTCTGGTCGTGGTCATTGTGTTGTGTTCTTAGGCTTTTACTTTACTCTCACAGTGCTTCTCTTCACCCAGGTGTACAAATGGGTACCAGCAGCAAATATGCTGGGGGTAACCCTGCGATGGACTAGCATCTCATTTAGGGGGGAGTAGCAATACTCCTAGCCGCTTCATGCTAAGGAAACCGGAGTTAAGCGCCGGCCCCATAGGCCTCTTAGGCCTGTATATAGGCTTTACTTTTGCTTATCCATTTAGCTCATGGCGCTTTACAACACTTTGCAGGGGAATTTGAGCCAGACTGCCTTGAGAAATTACAATTTTTTGACAGGTAAATTTTGCAGATGCCCCCAATTTCAGAAACAAGGCCAGAAAACAACACCGGGAACTACGTTCCCTACTCTTTGAGAGAAGTGTGTGGGTTCTTTAACGTTCCCTGCAAACCAGTACAGAGAAGATGCAGGAGACGGGGCCTACAGCTTTTCGTCCTTATCCGAGAAACAAAGACCTGATCCATCCTGTGGCATGCACCTTACCAAATAACAGAGGTTTCATCGCCCTCGTAATTCGATTTCTGTGACAATCTCCTAAATCAACTTCCTCAACGTGACCAACCTGACGAAATCAAAGAAAATCTAAGTTTGAGGAAAATTTTTTTAATCGGCCGGAACTGGTTTATCTTTTATTGGTCATCCATAAAATAAATGCGATTGATTGTTGTTCAAATAAGTAATAAACACTCTCCCCTCAAACAAAACACTGAACGGTAGTATTTTTTTATCTTTTGAGAGATTATTTAGCATACAACGTGGTTACTTTAACCATTAATTCTTTACTAACAACGATGTCAACATTGGTTTTCTCCTAAAGTTAAAAAAAGCAAAGCAAACGAGTGAGAAGAATTGAGTCACCAACTGTTAGTTTGATTCGATACCAAATTCTCAGAGGGAACGTCGAGAGAAAAATATAACCATCAGTGATGAGAATTTATATTTTAAAAGTAAGATATGAAAGGTTCAAGTCCGCCGACTAATTTCACGTATTAAAAAATTTGTTAATTGAGGAATGGCTCATCCAAAGAAGGCCACAAGAAAGATTAAACTTAGATCGTAACAACTTCCGATTTACAGTTTAAGTCACTTACCTTCACTCCGTCAAGTCGTGTTAATCCGGTTCGCCCGACAAATGTGGGACCTTCGTTAACACCATCATCAATCTCTCGTCGTTTACAAGCATGGTCGTTAGCAGAACAGCTCTCATGGCGAGAATTCGATGGATCAGAATACTTATCTTGGCAAAGTGCAAATTTAAAGCTAACTAGAGATAAAATATATACAACTTTTACAGAATAGAATAAGGCCATCGTTGAAATGTTCACGCGGATAATGGCGAAGTTTTGAAAAAAAAATATTTGTATGGTACCAGATTGACCCAGCAAGCCCCTGTTATAAATGATTAAAAATCCCCATGGGAGTCGGATCTCTTAATCGCTGGGATTTCAACCAGGAGTATGCAAATTTTAAAATTGTACTTGTCATTTGAGATTAAGTGTCGATATACCCTTGAAATGAAACTCATTTTATCTGTAAATGTTTCACAGAAACTCAACAAACTGAGGTGTTAATAATGATTTTTTTGTTTTGATAACTTCTTGAGATCGACAGGTTTTAACAGATTCAATAAACCAAACACTTCAACTTCTCACCAGGTGAGAAAACAACAATTTGCCTTTTATTCCGTTCTACTGCACAGGTTAACAGGCCCGTATACTAAGAACAATAGAATCAATTTTCTTACGCAGCTATTTGACCAATTCTTTAACTCTGTTCCTTAATCAAACACCGTCGCCTTCATTCATACCACGTGTTCTTTGACAAGTCAGTGTATGGAACCTGTCAGACAATCGCTTAAAACATTAAGCCACCAAACAAACAAAGTGTAACTAAAGTTTTACCCGGTGTGTTTATGAAAAAAAGGAAAATTTGTTCCACTTAGCTTTCCACGAGTAGTTTAGTTTTAGTTTCGACTTCAAGCGTGGAGGGCGCAGATGATTCCCCGACAAAGGAGTGACAGACATTGTAGTAACATGCATTTAATGCACATGATCCTCTCCTTAAAACAAGTAATCGATTTATGTGGAACTTTTCGTGAAAAGTTCCTTAAAGATCCCTTCATAATAGAGATTAGAAACAGAAGGCAAAATGAATTTCCTCACCGATACTTTAGTCCAGGCCCGCAGAGAACGGGGACTCCTGAATCAGCGGTACATAGCGCGAGGTATTGAGGTAGACTACGTTACGAGAGCTTGACAAGGCCTCTGACATGGTCTGCCAACTAGAACGTGATCGTATTTTTCTTCCAGGACATACACGTTCGTAGACAAGCCGTTAGGGTAGCCCGCAAGCCAGACAAGCTTTTATTCTATTTTAATTTTTTTTTGGAGTTTCAGTCACGCAATGAGGAACGTTTCCAGAAGTCTATCGTTGGTTTACGTGACGAACGTGACTAACCTAAAGATAGACCACATATATAACAAGGGCTGTTTATTGATACTTTACAGGCTGATACCAAGTTACGCTATACTGAACGATATGGGTGGTTTCTTTTTCCCTCAGTAGTCACAAAGGTGCACTTTTAAGTGTACAGGACACAGTCATCGCCAAGAAGAATTAAAACTAGCGTTAAATTTAATACTAGAATTAAGGTGTCGAAATAAAGAACGAAAATGTAGGCTATCCAGCTTGTTTTTCTCTTGAGCGCACAATCAATGTCAACACATGTCACGCAATCTTTCATTTCAAGTTCTTTTATTCCAAATGCAATATTTAGCAAATTTTAACATAGTAATGAATTCGAAATTACAAATACGATACTTTGGCCTGTAGACAGAAACCGTTGCATGCTGCACTAACTTTCTTCATTCCGTTTCAGGCGCGTAGGATAGAACACGACACAACCGCGCGGTAACAGCTGTACTCAGTTGTTGTTTGACGGAGATCACCAGGCGAAATCAAAGACAATGTTTAAAACAATTGTTTCGTAATTAACCGTTTTAATGGTTATCAGAAGATCGCAACGGTCATACAATTCCATAAAAAGGCAATTAAATGGGCTAACCATGAAATTACAATTGAGTTCATGCGTATTCCTATAAAAGCGTTTTTTAAAAAGCCTTTTTCATTACGCGTGCCTATAACAGCGAGAAAGCGCAGACTCTTTCTTTTGACAGGCATCAGGCTTAGTGCCTTGATAAGTGTCACACACAAGTCCCAGTAGATCAAACGTGGCCTCGTTTTGTATTTCATCGGTGTGTTTCCCGTTCAGCGTAATCCATGGAACGAAGTAATGGGGAGGATTGAGTGCGTTGGTCTTCAGAGCCATTTCATGCTCCAGGGCATTTCCCTGGGCACTCGAGTGGCACTTGTCAATGGAGGAGAAATCTATGCTAAATTGACTTGCACACTGCTCTGCTGCTGACACTGGATCGTATCCGGCGATGGTCGACTCCAGACAGTGGATGAAAGGAAAGTAAGATGTTGCATTCTGAAGGATAGAAATAGCGCATGTTTCGATGAGGTTACCGACACATTCTGCCTCCCCGTGCTGACATGTAAATCGCCATTCATCCCCATAGCGACTCTCTTGTGCATTTCCATACGGCACGAGGATCACCTCCATGATCTGGCCAACCTTCTGGAATGTTGGGTAGAACTGAGTCTCTATGAATTGCCTGCATCCTCCACACAGCGACTCGTAGTACAGCGCTATTTCAACTTTTGGTGCAGCTACCGGTGTTCCGACACAGAACACAGGGAGGGCAGCCAGAAGGACGGAGAGCATGCACAGCTTGAATTTCATTTTAGCAACGAAAAGGATCACTGATTTTCATCAGAAGCATTCCAACCTTTATACCCAGGCATAGAGACGGCGCGTGACTTTCTCATGAAAAGCACATGGCTATATTGTGCCAGCGGTGTAATACCTAAAATGGTTCCAAAGTTGTTCCGGGGGTGGTTGGAGTTTGCATGATGGACAGGTAAGCATTGGTAACCTAAGCTGAACAATAAGCCTCCGTAAATAGTACATATGTTTGCGTTACGCAACAGTCGTAAAAAAAAAAAAAAGATTTGTTTAGGAATGAACGGCCGTATTCTTAACCTAAATATCTGCTCTAGTTTTGATTTAACTACCTTTCTCCCCTATGTGTTTATTCCTTCGACTCAAGAGAGTTTTCTCGGATTATTTACAGCCTTTTGGCTCGTTTTCAGTTCTCCCTTGTTCGAGATTGTGCTAGCCGTGAAGCTCAAATCTGATCCCCACCCCACCCCTGATAATCAATAATAACGACAGCAAGTGGAGGGGTCATTGTATTTGTTTTCTTCGTTTACCTATCGATTCCATTTTCGTTTATACTCTTAAACGCGTATTATGGCCGGTTTCACGGACTAATTAGATCAAGCCGGGACAATAACGATAGATATTTGGCGTAGGGGTGATGAGTACTGGACCGGGGCAGGGGGAGGGAAAATAATTATTACTGCTTTTCCGGTTGCTCGCAGCGGGTTTGGCATCCAGGTCATGTGCTTTTCACGAGACTGATTTTTATTGCCCGAAATTGTCCTTCGTTTTTCAGCAACAAAAATTATTTGTTTATTTTCGTGCATTTTTTTTCTTTTTTTTAACGTTGGTTCAGTTCTCTCTCTGGCGCTGTACATACTGAACATCCCTTGAATTGCTTTTTAAAATTCTATGACTGTGGCCTTAGTAGCCTGTTAAGGTAGTATCCCTCTCATGCGTGTTTTTACGCGTGAGAGGGATGCGAAGAGCGCCTCCCCATGATTGCAACCAGTAAACGACAAATAATGCAGGCCCGAAACTAGTCCGGTATACTTAAGGTACAGAAAGGGTTACAGTTATTTCTGCGAGCAGCTGTGATCCTATCGGATCCTTGTGTTTGCGCAGAGCTTTCTGGGATCGCCAGGGGTCAAACATTGCAAGTGGCTGGAAGGAAACATATAAAACTGTATATGGCAAAAGGTTGCTTCGACGTCCCAAAGACAATTTTGGAGAGATTTTTGAGAAACGGATTTAGGCATTGTTGTTTCGAGAGATATTAGATAGCTAGTTATGTAACGTGTCGAGACAATGACGATTGTACAATAAACCTTCTTTATACTTCCCTCGTATCAAATCTAAATCCTAAATCCATTTCTGATGAGACAGCAGCGAATAAGCGTTTTTCTCTCTCCAAAACCCTTTTACCTCCTGTCGAAACAACCTTTGGCCATATTTATTTAGAATGAACTTCAGCGAAGGTTCGATTGAACATTTATTGGAGTGATTTGCGTACAGATCATTTTGATGTGTTAAAGATTTCACATAACGATAAACGATCTCATTACGTTATAATAATAGATTAACAAGAAATTGTTCGAAATAAACCGGTGATAATAAACTGAACACTAACGAAAATATTTTTGAGATTGAATGTCCTTTCGAAATTCGAGAACTTTTTCAGACAATCAAACTTCCTTTAGTAACTTGCCATGTTTGATCCCCGGCCTTTGCTAGGATCCGATTACAGGAAAGTCATTCAATTCCTTAAGAAGTGGCTGTTATTTCTCAATTCCAAAAAAAAACCCGGTCAGATAAAGGAAATATTTCTAGAACAGAGAACGTTGGAAGACTTAAAGGCATGTGCTGAGTCATTTCTGTTTGTGGGGGGTTTCCGCATTCAATGAAAAAGTGAACGACAATTGATTAGACTCATTTCAATTCATTTAGTAGCCTTAATACAAAGTTACATAGGCGCGTTGCTGACAATAATATAATGTCGTCAATGCAGCTCACTCACTGGAGCCGCAACCCGCAGTGCCTTTTTTAACTCGATTAGAGGAAAAACCTTTTTGTAACATCGGCCAAACTCTTGCTTTTCACAATCCTTTGGCTTTGGTCCAGTGTAGTATTCACAGACAAGCTTCAGCAAGTTTCTTTGGGCCATATTCTGAATCTTTTCAGTGTGCTTTCCATTTACGGTCACCCACGGAACGTACTGGTGCTGTGGCTCTAACGCATCCGTCATCGCGGCCATCTTGTGTTCCAGTTCGTTCCCCAAAGGACCACTCACGCAAGCTTCGATTGAATCATAGTCAATTTTCAGAGACTTGGCACAGCTCTGGGCCACTGTTGTAGGTTCTTCAGAACCCTCGATATTCTTCTCAAAGCAATAAACAAAAGATAGCGATGCCGAAATGTTCTTGAGGAGGGAAATGGCGCAAGTCTCAATGAGATTCCCCTCGCACTCTTTTGGCCCGTGTTGGCACTGAAAAACCCACTTGTCTCCAATCTTTCTTTCCTCGGCATTTCCATACGGGACAAGTGTCAGGTTTATTATATCGCTGACCTTGAGGTACGTTGGATAAAGCTGCTGTCTGATGAATAATTGGCAGTCAGGACACAAACTCTCGTAATACAAGGCCAATTCTACTTTTGGTGCATCGTCAGGAAAGCTTGACGCAATGCCAGGCATAAGGCAAAGGAGACTCCACGCCAAAAGTCCGAACATGGTTGAGTCGATTTGATGCAGTGAGGAAAATGTGATGTGCTATCGATATGCGTTGCTGTTTACAACACCCGGATAGTCTTTATTCGCTGAAAACGTCATAACACGTGTTAAATTTCAGTCACAAGACCATGTTGTTTTTGTTGTGTTAAGGCTTGCTAATCACGCATCTCATTAATCTGATTGCGATGAAAACCTTGCCCTTTAGGACTTGTTGTTTTTGTTCGATTATGTAACCCTCAATACGTAGAAATAATACTTTTTCAGGAAGAAAAGCGCCAAACTAGCAATCATAAAAAGGGGGATAGAATGGGGAACACAACAGCACATAAAGAGTCTTTTTTCCGGACGAAAAACTGAAAAACCTTTCGACTAAAAAATCCAAGATATTCGATCCGAAATGTTCTCAGTACTACTTTGACTGGTCTACATGGCAATGAAATTCTGATGTTTAAGTATGTGCGCTAATGGAGGAAAACTTCATTCGTTAGGATGATCATCAGACTGCTAAGCCAATGTTACATATTGAGGGGCTAGGAACTTGAACTTGTTCAGGAAATCAATTTAATTCTACTACGCTTCCAATGGATATATTGAATGAACAAAGTTTTCAAAAGCGCCTAGCGTCTTGATCCCATGACCCCTGGAGGAGAGGGCTGACCATAACAGTTTTACACCATTGTGCTTTGATATGAAGGCCACAAGGAAATTAGTGAATTCTGTTTCCCCAAGGTTTCCACAGCAAAGAAAAATACATTTTCCGAACGCAGGGTGGCACACAACTTTACTGCGGTCTCAAGATGCACGATATAAAAACTTCTGGTTGTTGCTTCCCTAGGGACCAGTGAGATTTGACCTATGGCACGTGACACGTACAAAAGTGTTGGAATTGGGAGGAATAACAAGGGAAGCAGAGAGTTTCGTTTTGCTTAAAACCCTGAAAGTTTACGGAGACGAAGCCGAGGGGAAAGGTGAGGTTTTAAGGAAAACAAAACTCACCCTTTTCTTGAGGTCAGTCATATTGGTGCTATGCATGGGTGAATTCTAGTAGACATTATTTCAAATTTCTACTTCCTAATTTTCGCTCGTGTTCGACTGGCGGGTAGCCCTTGTCATGCTCTTGGTTGGTGGAAATAATCCCAAGAGCGGTTGTACAGAAAACGGCGAAAGTCAGGGGAAGAAAAACCCAGTAGCGGCTGCTTCCGTGACAAACAGGACGGTTCTTTGTCACTCGCCCTCTTCCCCTCTCCTTTTCAAAAACCCAGTTCTGAGCAAGTTATGAGGCCATTAAGTGTGTGACAAAAAAGCAGAGAAATAAAATCAAATAATAAAGAAATGGATAGTGAAATGCAAAGATGTAAGAAAGAAATTAAATATTTGATGTGTTAAGTCAGATAATCCCGAACGTTAGCTTGATATCAGTCATTTTCCTTTTTACCACAAAAATTTCCAATTATGCGTAAAGATGAGTTAGGAGGAAAAATAAACTAAATGGGTAATTTCTTGAGCAAACCTAACATATTTGCAGAGGACTTGATATGCATGGGGCTGACAACAAAACTATAAAACACAAAGTCGATTTATCCCAAACGTCAGCTAGAAATGTCATTTTGTTTTTACCAGAACAATTTCCATATTAATAACTAAGTTAACCATTCGTTCGACTTCTTGAATGAGGCGACATTATTACACTATTACTTTGACAAAGCTTATTTTTGATTAAGAAATCTTTTCCTTAGAGACACTTACAGCCTCGGGGATTTTAAGTTTCTAAATATACAATTTTTTTTAGGTGCATTGCACCTTAAAACACGCAGCACAACTGAAAGGTCCAGAACAAAACGCATGATTTTCATTTTTCATTTTTTTTTCATAAAATCTCGCGCAATTAATGTTTTGTCTTCATTGTTTGACAATTTTCGCGAGCAGCTGGACTTCTGGGCTTGTTTGCGATCTGAGCCAAGATTATAATTAGAGTTCTGCGTAATATTATTATTGCATGTAGTTGCGTTCGGCGAAGTAACATCTAAACCATTCACGGATATTTGACAAACTTAAGCTTATCCACCTCCGCTATATATTCTGCACGCCAGGCATTAAAACAGGTCAGTGAGTTATTTTCGTGTATAAGGTATTTTCTTATCGGTTTACAAATGGTTTAATCTTTTGCTGCTGAATTTATCTCACACTTAGTTAATAATACATGGGTAAGGACACTGAACGACAATCCTTTTTATTCTTCATCTTGGTTTTCGCAAAGTGCACCTGTTTCTAGTCTGATATGGTTGTCTGGAGATCGATGGAGTGATAACTGATAGAGAATGTTATTAAGGAAACGGTGAAAACAATCCCTTCCAGTTTAATAGCTCGGTTAACGAAAGAGTATCAACGACGCATGATGAAATATTTTAATTATTCATACTGCCTTCGCCTGAAGCGAGACTTTTTGACAAATATAAGATGGACATTATTCCAACAACTGATGAACGGAATGTTATTTACCCTCTTATGAAAATCCCAGAGAAAAAAGTTTTAAAAAAATCTGAATGGGAAAGGCTATCCAAATTGTTAACTTTAAACAATAAATTTTAGTTCAGTTTGATATTCTTGGATAAAATCGTCTCCGGCAGGCAGTATATTGACTTTGCTAAAGAGCAGCATGTATTAGAAGAAACATTCACATATCAAAGTCAAAAGCTCAGTCTCATTCCGCACTCCAGTGTAAGAGTCAGTATTTACTGATTAGAGGTTTTTCGTTGGGGCAAGAAAGTATCCTATGGAAAACAATTAAGAATACTCGAGCAAACAACTGATCTAAAGCCTGCAGGAAAGAGAATCATTGCCAGGGCATCTTTAGTGGGCCTTCCTCATCTTCCTTCTTCAAAGAGATTTCTGTCAACAAAGAGAACTTCGCAACAACTAGCAATCATTAATCTGTTGTGATGAACGGCACGGCGTTAGAAGAAACTTCAGACTTCAGAAATACTTGTTAGATATGTACTCCAATCAGCCTGGTGAGAATTCAACCCAACAAAGTGATCACCCGCTTGTTTGTGTGTCAAAACCATTATCCGTTTTTATCTTCGTTATCTATGCCGCTGTTTTCTTTCTTGGGGTGTTTGGGAATTTTTTGGTCATATTCATCGTATCCAGAGATTCCAAGCTGCATACGCCATTTAATTACTTAGTTGTCAACCTGGCTGTTTCTGACACGTTTGTTCTGCTCTTTTCGTTGCCGATTGTCGTATTCAGTGAATGTTTTTCATGGCCTTTTGATGAGTTTCTATGCAAGTTGTCTCGTCCATCGTTTCTCATTTTTACGGGTGTTTCTGTTTGCACGATGGTAGCTCTGAGTTTCGAAAGATATCAAGCAATAGTGCATCCTCTGGCACTAAAAATGACACGTGGAAGGGCGTTTTTCATCATCGTGTTTGTGTGGGTTTTGTCGTGTTTTGCATTTGGCCTTCCAAGGTTTTTTGTATTTGGACTAACAACTGAGAAAGGAATTTTACAGTGTGACCCAATCAAGCAGAGTTTCGCCATAAGGACAGTGACGAAGATATTCCGGCTTATCATGACGTTAATTTTGCCTTGTATCGTTTTATCATGGGCGTATAGCCGAGTAATGCACAAGCTTAGAAACGAGCTCGCCTTCATTGCAGACGCATTTGCATCACGTGACATAGAGAGGATGCGAACCACGAGGAACATCAAAACAATGCGCCTACTTGTAATAATTATTGTCGTGTTTGTCGTTTGCTTTTTGCCTTTCAACATTGTCACATTATTTGGCAGTCTCCCTGTGTATGCCGAATGGCATTACAATGAAACGATCGAGAATATGGCCCGGATGTTTCAAGTGTCTCACAGCTGCTTCAATCCCATGATCCTCTGTTCACTGGGCTCAGAATTTCAAAAGGCTTTGAAAGAATTGTGTGTATGTTTACTCGGCAAAAACGTGCTGAAAAGCAAAAGAAAAGCCTACGTTTTACCACAAATTCGGCAAAGTCGTACTTCGACGTCGCCGGCAAACACCAATTCATTTGATACCAGTTTGTGACTGCTGTGGAGTTCTTGTTTAATACACATAATTTTTCCAGCAGGTAAACAATAATCGCCCGGTTAGCTCAGTCGGTAGAGCATCAGACTTTTAATCTGAGGGTCATGGGTTCAAGTCCCATATCGGGCGCTTTAAAAATTTTTGTTAATCAAAACTTGAGTTGTTCCTGTAATGGATGATATAGGATGGAAAATAAAAAAGAACTACAAATAATTTTTTTTCACTATTCCGTGAAGAAGCCTTGTATATTTGGTTGAAATTTGCTATGGCTTTGACACCAAAAACAACAATTGAAAGCAAAACAATTCTTCTCTCTTTTACCTATAAAACAATCCTTTTGTTTATTCAACGAAAATCAAGATCGGCAAAGAAAGCCTTACATTCTTTTATTGCCTTAATTGAGTTAAAATGGTCTACGTCAGAGTAGTGGTTGTCTTTGGTCCGTCTTAATCTCGTACCCAGATCCACAGTGTAGGATCTTGCAACCGCTTGGCCGTGAAAGATTTCGATATGTACGAGACTAGGTCCGTCTGATATTTTGTATTTGATGTCATGTAAAGAGTTATTGTCTTTGCCACAAGGTGATTTCTTCTGCTGTGAGTTTGAGATCCCATATGATATTAACCTTGAGTTTATAACGATTCAGTAATCATAAAATTTGATTAGATTTATTTTCTGTACGTAATAAAGAATCAAAGATTGCGGCTTATTTGAATGGATTTTAAGGGGTAAAAACTCACTCGTTTAAAGTACCATCCAGAGCTATTTCTTGCGAGTAATAATATTTTTTTTTGACACGGCATGCTCTTACATTTTGTCCTCCCTTCTCAGTAGGTGTTTAAAACATTCTGAGAGAAACACCAGCCAGCGCCCTTGATCAGTCTTATTTATGAGTTTGTATGCCATGTTTAAAATGCTGTTTTAGAAGTTGATCCTCTCAAGTTTGACCGTGTTTCTGCCATGGATAACGACTGGTTACTCTGTTTTTCTCGACAGAACAACTTCTTAATCGCTTCTTTAAGTTCACGGTTATACCACGTTAATACAATAGGGTTAATTGCTGAGTTTGCAAACATAAGACACAGAAACAAACGCATGAGAAAGCCTGGCACTTGAGACTTGAACTTACTTATGGTGAGCACTGTGAAGAACGGAAGCCAGCAAAGAACCCAAAATCCAACCAAAATGGCCACCATTCGCCCCGCTTTCTTTTCTCTCAAAGACGACGCTCGTCCTCTTACAGGGAAAGAATTCTTAGAATTTGTTTCACTGACTGCAGTCACTTCTAGTGCAGCTATCTGCCTGGCTTGAGTTCTTGCGATCATGTATATGCGATAATATGAAAACGTTATGAGTATCGCTGGGATAATGAACCAAATTAACCACTCGGCACTCATGTATATGGCTTCGTTTAAGATGTGCTCGTCGGAAGGCTTCGTTGTCGAACACACGACGCCTTCCGGACGCCAAATGAGTGGCGGGAACGCGAGACAAAGCGCAATTAGCCAAGTCATCAGTACAATGGTAGTAGAGCGATGGACAGTTAGGTAACGGTTAAAATGAAGAGGGTAGCGAATGTTTACGTAACGGACCAAAGTCATGGCGGTGAGGTTAAACACAGAAGCAGAACCGAACAATACTCCGCTAAGCAAGATAATGTAACAAACCGATGGGTGGATAGGCTTAAAGTCGATTATGACCTTTTCCACAGCTTGGTAAATAATGTCTGTACAAGCTAACATGAGATCGGCAGCCGCAAGACTTGCTACAAAAGCATTCCGAAGAGTTCGAAGATTGTGATTTGAGTATATGACGTACATGAGAAGGCCATTTCCCACGATAGCGAAGAGAGCCAAAAAAGAGAGCAAAATCGCCTCGAGCACTCTGTCGATTTGAAGTCCGTTGCCTTCGGAAGACTTGTTCTGAATTGCACCCGAATTTAGTCGTTTTGTCATGTTTTGAATGACATCCGAGCTCATCTTGCTTTTGTGCTTTAGATAAGCTATTTATTGTAGGGCGATGATCAACTTCTACTGCATGAGAACTCCGTTTCTTTCGACGTGTTCGTTCTGAATTGCGCTTACGTTTAGAAGCTTTGCAAGGCTTTGGACCAGTTCCGAACGTATCTTTCTTTCTCGCCTAAGGTCCGCTATTCACTGTTGTGCGGCGATTGAATTTCTGCCCTTGTCGTTATTCCACTAGTTCCTTTTTGTATAACCTGCACTTCTGTAGTTCACAATTTAATTGAGTTTCTTGGTTTGCTGTATTTATACTTATAGTAGGTCTAGGAAACCAACAAAACGAGTCGTCTTCTTCACCATAGGAACCACAAAATTAAAATTACCAGCGGGAGGCGTCCTTCTTCTCTCTCATTCTCTTTTTCGACCACTCTTTGATCTGATAGAAATGCCACCGGGGCTCTTGAAAACGAGTTTTTAAGCGCTTTTGTAATGGAAATATTCACTTTAATCTCCAGGATCAGACACTGTGAGGATGCCATAATAAAACATGTAGCTGAATAGACTGGGTAAGGATAATTAGAAAGAGATGTTAAAGCCTCGAAAAAGCAGGTGTGTTTGTCAACTCCCGTTGCAGTTCAATCTAAAATCAAAAAAACAATAAGCTGAATCAAACTGTGTTGGACCGATTCATGAACAATTCGCAGACACATTAGTCAGGAATCTTTCTGATATTGTTACCGTCAGAGAAGTTGAGTATTTCCCCCTGACTTTCTCATAGTTGGAAGTCGTTTCAGCGAAGTCAATCAGTGAAATTTATCTAAATCGACTTTAATTTAGATTTAATTAAAAAAGTTTCCTCGTGCGCCGGTGATTGAGCCTGTGGAGAATGTTGAACTGATTAACATTAACATTTTCCCTGATAAAGCTGTGTCAACAAGAGAACTAAGAGCCACATGAAGTGGCATTAAGAGTGCCTTGGTTTATTTTTATCAAAAAGTTCCGATACTAGAGCACGACGAGTCTCTTTGTCTGTTGCATGGTAATGGCAAACATAATTCTTTAAGAAATGTGGATTTTTGACCGATGTATCCCAAACTACCATGCGTCCCCTTATCAAAACCATAATCACTTGTAAAACCAATAATTTAGGAAGAATTGTTTTATGTATGTTTTATGGTATACTTTCGGTGGCCTAACAAGCTTACGCAAGTGCTGGTGCGTTTTCCTGACTGAAAATCACCGGTTATTTCTGCTGGGACATTGATTTACTTTAAGCTCCCACGTCGATTTGCTGTTCAATTCAATAAGTTTCTCCCATATGCAAAAGAAAATATAATAACTCATCAATAAAGAGTTCAATTTGATATATACAGCGGTGGAACTAACCTTATTTTGATCTGTCATCCGTTATAAGAAGTCAAACAATTGAAGCCTATTTCCTTTGGTTTTTTTCATATGTTAATTTACATGTTAACTCTGTGCCATTGGTTCTGTTCGCATCGCATACGAACGTTTCGTGATGTTTTTCGCTCGCAATTTTTTTTTTAATCATCACACTTGCTGTGTTTTGTTCTTCGGTATATTCTGCCGATAGGCGAACCCAAGCCTCCTACATGGTAGTCTATCCAAAAAAAAACTCCCTGCTGTCGCAATAAAAAATCTCGTCAAATTGCGTGTTTGCGAACTCAAAATCGTTTTGGGAAACTTCTGTTTTAATGATGCGCTAATTTGACCACTCTCTGTAGTCTTAATTCCACTAATTTATACCTGAATTAAAGAGTGGTCTCCTTGATTCATAGAACTACATTTTTCTTTCTTGGTATTGGTAAAGCTGTTTAAAGCCCCGACTACGTTCAATAATGGGTTCTCAAAAGAGTCCGTTTTCGTCTCAAGCAAAATCATTGAGGCCGTGACCACACTAATGTGCTTAAACTCGTACTTTTTCATGCGTTTGTGGCCACCGTCCTCTGATCCTAAAAAAAAACCTGGAAAAGACTAACTGACAAGGAGTTTCGAAAACGGTCTCAAAAGTGGAGCATTTTGAAAACTCATTGTTTTGAGACGCTCCTTTTCGTGTGTGGCCAAGTGAAGACTCGAAAATGTGAATGGAACCTGAATCTCAATTATAGTATGAAAATAGAGTTGCCTGTTCTTCTATGTGATCTTACAATCCACAGGCTCCTTATTTGTAGTTGGTATGCTTTTACGTTACTCAGCTCAAACAAGGATAGTTGCATGCGATGAGAATTTTGTTGTTGTCGGTGTTGTTGTGTAAACCGGATCAATTCGCCATTATTGATAATTTGGAATTACTGATAAGTACCCCTCCTACTCCTCACTGTTGGGGATTTCCGTACATCGCATGAACTCTGTACATATCGACTTTTAGCTAATTAAAATGCAATACTAACCAATATCACGGTGCATTCAAAAAGACAATGTTCGTCATTTTCTGAAATGAAACCAAATATAAATGCGTACATTCTAAAGATTTTATCAATAGCATGATAAAGTTAAATATCTGCCTCTAGTTGGCGCAAAAATATGCACGGATATTTGTCAGCGGACATTATCTGTTCCGAGAAGTGAACGGTTTTCCGAGAGTGAAGTTCGAGGTAAAACTAGGAGAGTTACATCACATGTAAAAATCTTCTTCCTTTTTCTTTGCGGCGCTTTGAACCTGAAAGAAGTAGACAGCAGGTGTTCACGGGTGGACAGAGCGTGGTGGATTGGCTGTCGAAATGAGACTAAACTGATAAAACATAATACCTCTTTTTCTTAAGTAGTTAGCCAGATGCGACATAATCAAAGCCAGCTATGTCGAGGGGAAGACCTTTTACTTAGTAACCGAACAGTACCACAAAGGTACTCTACATAAATTCGTGCTCTTGTGCGAGCGCTTGTATTCACTTTATTGAACATTTGATCAAAATGTCTTTTCTCCTCGTATGGTCGATACTTTTAGTTTAGAGGCAGGTGGCGAGAATAAACAGCATAATCAACAGAGAGAATTTTCCAGTTCAAACAATAAATTCTCGTAGCTTCAATTTCGAATAATGTATAAATTTGGTGATGAGAGTTTACATGTCCATCTTTTATTTGAAGATAGTAAGGGCTAAAGCTTTGAATAATTTACAAAAAATTCAACACTAAAATTTAACTATACCAGTTCAACTTATAGATCGATAAATTATATTGCAAGCTTCGCTGCTATCGAATTTGAGGCGAAGATAGCAAAAATTTAAGATATGATAATTTATACCAGTTATATTTGGGTTTTAACTGCCCTGTTTGGATTTGTAAGCTGTTATGTTGGAAGTCAAATTAATCTCTCTTGTGAAAACGGCGTGTGTTCCAGGCAAGCGGATCAAGGACCATGTGTTGTTAGCGACGACCACGAACGCCTTTTTAGATGGGATCCAGTCAAGGTAAATAGAAACGACTTAACTGAATGGCAGTGTAAGAAATGTAGGTTTTATGTTTTAACAGTGAACGCGTATGGTATTCAGGGACTTTCGTCTTCAAAATTATCCATTTAGCGTTTTGAATATATTAGTGTCTGTTTAAAGTTCCCCGAACATGCTCAGCTACACGTTAAAAGATATACACTTGTCACAATCCCGCATTACAGACATAATTAAGGTGCTTTAGCACCGTGTCAAAGTCATTTGATATGTTTGACCGTGTACTCTGATCGTCGGAATGGAATTATCACGGAGAAGGGCTGTTGTTGGTATGAGTAGCGACTGACGTTTCGACAACCTTAGCGGAAGTCAACTCTTTACTTGACTCTGATAATTTCTTTCCCTGAGGTTGTCGAAACATCGGTCACCACCACTGAAAACAGTCCTCCCCAATGAGGAATAGTGTAACCCAAACGATCAGACTGCGTGATCAAATGTTACCACTGTCTTCAAACTAGGTACTGTGAATCAAAGTCAAACATCTCCAAAATGAGGTGTATACGTAGCCGTAGCCTGTATGTTTGGAGGTGGAGGGTAAGTCGGTTCTGAGGCCTTGAACAACAGCGTCGCGAGGGGAATGGGAAGAAAAAAAGGCCCGCGCGAGGCCTCGGTCCAGATTGAAAACGCACTCTACAAAACGGTCAACTACATGGGTTGATTTGTGCTCTTCATTTCGTTGACAGAGAGGTCACGTGAGGGAATTAGAGTTAGAGCCTGGGAAAAAATACAAGATGATAACTTTAGCCTCCAAACCTCCGGTGTTTGGTAAGACTTCATAGAGTAAAAGTTGAATATATTTTCTTATCATAAAATCAACTGTTCCTTTGTTCTTGTCTTTCCCATTAATAGCGTAGCTCCATTTTCTGCATTTAAAACAAACGCAACCCACAGTTCATCTATTTTCTCGGACGCAGGGCTAGCAATCCAAACTTCAGCTATAGAAACTCTTCACGGTGGCCAATTTAAAATCAGTGGATAAAGCCAAACAAGAATATTACTCATGATATAATGGATCACATATTTCATAATTGGCGATCTGTGATTTCTCGAAAGACTAATGACGCGAACTTCACTATTTCAAAACATAATGAAGCCTGTTTTTTTACTCACTACTTTTTAGTTATCTTTTTCATAAACAATCAGTGCACCCCAATCTCTTCTTATGAAGTCGCTTCATGCTACACAAAAAAGGGAGTACGCTCAGACAGCTGTGTGTTCGAGTCGGTCTTATATACTTACATTAAACCAGCAATAATTTGTCTCGCTTTCTTGGTTACCTTTTGCCTTTTTTTCCAAGATGCCCGGCCAGAATGGTTTTTAGTCTCTCACATGATACTGGACAGAAACTTGAAAGACAGCTTACGATGTAGCAGGCTCATCATGCTGAGGCTTACTCCGACGGGTTTCGATAGCTCAGTTGAGGCGACCAAGACTATAATTTGCCTGAACCGGGATACCACTCCATCGAGGGTCACCCTCTTGCATTTCGTTAAGCTTTCCTAAAAGTTCGCTTGTACCCATCTGTAAACCCCGGGGTGGAGAGGCACTTTGCGAATGAAATGTTTCCAAAGATCACAGGACAATAACTCGGCAAGGCTCGAACCCTTTTATCAAAACTCCAGCACACTAGCCACCAGGCCAAAGCTATGACCGTATCTCCCACTTCTTTCATGAGCCACCTTGATTTGTACGCGCGTGCACGTGGTTTATTTTCGGTGTCAGTTGGTACCAATCAGAGACAATATAGTCTTGATCGCGACGAGATTCATGATTTTGTAAACATTTTTAGTTAAATTTGAGGTAAACTTGTCTTCTTTTACAGAGCTCCCTGATTTTCTAAGCGAGGAGGAAAGTGAGCATATCATCGATCTAGCTGAAATGTTTGGCCTTGAAAATAGCCTCATGCATACTGATGAATTTCAAGAACAACATAAGAAAGAAGTGAAAGGTAACGCTAACAATTTCACTGATAGTTTGTTCCAATAAGGAATAAGGAAATCTTATTCGTATTCTGTTTATTCATACGACACTTTCGACATCGCCGATCATTTGCAAATGAATGACGCACGTTATAGCTCACGGCTGGTTATCTGCATGTTGACCGAACTATGTTATTATTTCGTTGTGAAATTTCATCTAGATCTAAATTTATCATAATTTTAACAAAATACTTTCTGCCATAAGGAGAAAAGTTGAAAGATTTTTGGGCGAACTCGTTTTACTGCAGTGGGCGAACTCGTAAAAGTGCTAAAGGGCGAAGTTGCAATGGGGCGAAAACTCCTCATACCCTCATGAGAATGTGTATAAGGTTCGATTCCCCGTGAGGACTCAGATTTTTTCCTTTGTACGACGAAAGATGATTTTTATGCGTTTCGATACAAAATTAAAAATTTACCATTTTCCTGCTTTCATACCAATAAATTTTACTTATTTACTAGGGCACGCAAGTGGAGCTGCTGGTATATATCTAAGCTGGGACGAAAATCAGGATAAGGAGATAACTAAAGACGAGGTTGTGGAACTTTTTCGATGCCATTCTGTACTAAAAAGATATATAAATTATATTATGTGCCTGGCTGTTTATTTAATAAATTCCGGCTAACAATTCCATGACGGGAGAATTCTTTAGCAATCAAACGGGTATAAGAAATTTAGTGATTCAAAACGTAATGCTTGAAATTTTTTTTATAATTAAATGACTTCTTTTAGAGCAATATATTCTGATAGGTTCTTACTGCAACATCTGGAAGAAAGCAAAACCACAGCGTCTTCAGTGATATCCATTATTTTTCATATTTTAAGAGTAACGTTTGCCACAAAATCATTCACCAGATAGCAGGTGAAATGAACGGAAATTTTTTGCCAAAGTGTATTTTCATCACCTCTTAATTTCAGGTAATTCACTTTTCACGGAGATATAAGTTTCTTTACATGACCCCTGAGGAAGTCGACGTCATGTAAGTACAACTCACTCCGCTTAACACAATCACGTAGATAGCTGCCTCGGATATCTCGAGCCGCGAAAGTAACCATCTTCTTCTGGTCAATCATGGTCGTGCCACGCCGAACCCGAAATTTTAATGTCCGTCGGCCAAAACAGCAGGCATCCGAAGAATGAAGTGATTACTCATCGAACTTTCGCGGTAAAATAAAATTCGTCGATTTTCGTCAAAAGCCGCCAAAATCAAAGAGGTCGCCTAATTTTACTCTTATTACTCAATTTTACCACAATACTGCATTTTTCTTCAGAGTACCCACGCAATCCCTTCCTTTCTTTAAAAGAGAATCTTTATTCAGACCTTGGTCCGTGAAACAAAGGTTCAAAAGAAAGAATAAATCAGTTAGCACTGCATTATGAATTAAATAAGGGCCGAAATCGGCCGCACTGCCAGCCAATGATCTACTGGTTTTGATTGTGGAATCAAAAGTTGTACCAAATTTCACTTTGCCTATTCCTCAGGATAAAGAAATTGAAGATCAGAGAGTTTGATGATGGTATGCTCGTGGTTTGTTTAAAACTTTTATTTCTTTGCATATGTAGTTTTGTCTACCTTTCAATTCTCACTCTTTTTTTTTTAATCTCCTTGATTATTCCTTGGATATTTTGGGAGGGTTATTTATTTGTTTGTTTTTATTTCTTGGCACTTGTTTTTAAATCTTGTTTGTGAACCGAATTCTTGCTATTGTTTACTTGTAGGCAAAGTCACGATACAAGAATTTCGTAAACTACCAACGGCTGCTATGGACGACTATATGAACAAGCTGAAAGAATTATCACCAGTTCACCGTGAACGAAACAGCCACCAAACCTGGCTACATCAGGGAAAGTTTGCCAGTAAAATTATGCAAAGGTTACGAGAAAGGTGAAGTTAAGATATCACTTTCATGCATGTCTTTTCGTTGTTGTTGTTGTTACTGGGAAAACTGAGATAGGACATTTCTCGGCTTGTCCACAATGGGACCCTGTCAGTTTTGTTAATTATCAATTTCTGATCAAATTAACATTAAGACTTATTCTTACACAGAATAAAGAAACTAACAAGGCTATCTGATCGTGTCATCCGTGGAAGTGAACCTTTACAAGTAAGATCTACGGTGTTTTGACCCTTTACACCCAAATATCAATATGCATATTCTCCATGCTGTTCTCTAAACATTTTCCTAAGGTGCTGAAACGAAGGATTTGTTTAACAACCAGGAGCTTCTTTAGTAGCTGATCACTTCTCGTGACCTTAGTGTTTGATTCAGGGGTAACATTGAAGGAGAAATAATATGTTAATCTCTCTTAGGTGCTAAGAGTTAATGCTGATTCAGTTCCCACTCACTTGCCTTCTTACAGACAAGAGAGTATCCAGTAATTAATGATTCTTAATCTCCCATACAGACCTCACTCTGAGGGTAATCCCTTCTGGGCTATTTCATTCCAGTTTTTATGTTTGTAGTTCCCAAAAAGATATAAGAATAACCGAGCGACCTTTAAGGTGAAGTTCTCGCTCGTTCGACATCCCATTGGGCAATTGTTCATTTTCACCTGAAACACTAATTCAAGTAGCATGCATGATACAAGTAAAGTACGAGTACAATCTTCTGGATCCTCGATGCTTTCTCGCAGTTATTAGAGATTTCATCCATGGCACATTTTTAGCCCCAACTACGGAGACATCTTCCTTTTTTCTATAAAGTAAATACTTACCGTACAACGTTTGGTCTCAACCTTCAGGTGGTGAAGTACGATGAAAATGGCCATTACAATGTTCATCACGATGCTCAGCCAGTGGCTACTCACTCGCACCTCAAGTGCTGTCACCTGAACGTCACCAAGATACCAGCTTGCAGACTTTGTAGGTTAGTTAAGTATTTTCTCGAGAAAAGAGCACATACTGCCCATGTAAGGGCCATTGCGGCACTAGAGAGGGTTTGAGTGGAAGAGTAGCGCTCAAAATCGGTTTTGATATCCCACTAAGAACAGAATTGGGTAAAACTGATTGTGATAAACTGATAACTTACAAAAATTCTACTGAATGAATATCAGAAACTTGCTTTCCAAATGGAAGTTAAACAAATGGTCTGCCCCCTCCTCTCGCCTAATTCCGTGGAGTATTATTAATAGAACTGAAAGTGGTGAATTTTGGCGGGATTTTATTCATTGTGCGGTGGAAATTTTTTTTTCCTCTGCGGAAATGTAGCTTTGCGGATCAAAGACGATCCACAACATCTGCAAAAATTTAGACCCGCAAAATTTTCATGCCACGCGGTATTCCGCCCTTGTGTGACAGACAATCTCAAGTCATGCTTCTTTTCGTTTATAGATATATTACTATATTGTATTACCTAAATGACGTCGAGGAGGGTGGAGAAACAGCTTTTCCAGTTGCTGATAATAAAACCTTTGATCAACAGGTCAGTGATAAAGTGACTCCAAAATCACAGTGACTACTTACGCCCTGCAAGTAGTAAAATAGTAAACAAAAGCCAGGCGGCAACTCAGGCGCCGGTAAAGATACAAACGACAAAATGGCGTTGATTTTTACTTTTGGATGTGACTGATTGAGAAGCAGAACTCGCGCAATCTCCAAGTTTTTCCTCACGTGAACAAGAGTCGCTTAAACTTTGTGGGGATTTTGTTCTTGTTTCTGAATTTGTTAAGTTTGTGGGATTTGATATCTGGGCTAAAAAGGCTAAAACTGCTGAAATATTTAGCTGTTCAGCACAGAAACTTAAGCTAATTTAAGCCTGTCATTGATGAAAATTTTACGAGCATGATGTCTGATGGGGAGAGCAGGGATGACTTTGTTATCAAAGGCACTCGCCTACTATCCGCTGATGCCTGGTTACGATTTTAGAACGTGGCATCAAATGTGCATTGAGTTTTTATTTTTAGTTCTCGTCCTTGCACAGATATTTTCTCCTATTTTTAGGTTTTCCTCTATCTATTGAATTGGCAAAGAACCACTCTTTAGTTGCGCTGCTGCTAAACTCCATATGATTTTCGCCTGAAAAACGGTGAAGTAGACAAACGGAGCACGGCAGCAAGAGTTTCAACGAAGATACCTAACGACATTCTTTCTTACATTTTCCCTCAGTTGTACATCAAAACCATGAGTGATGATTTATTCAACTTGATGGAATTCTGCCATGCCGCCAGACTAGTGGTCCCCCCAAAGCGAGGCAAGGCTATCATGTGGTATAATCACTTCGTGGATGAAGAGACTGGCTGGCTGGGAGAGAGGGACGATTACACCCTTCACGGGGGGTGTGGAGTGCAGAAGGGAATCAAATGGATTGCAAATAACTGGATTACTGCCCCTGACGCACCACTTGCGCATATAAGAAGTAACTTTGAAATCAAGGAAGAAGAAGAAGAAGAACCTTTTAACTTATAAAATTTTGAGATAAAAAATTTAGCGCCTATTTAGCATTTTTAGGTAGTGATCATGATTTAAAACTGCCTTTGATCTTGTGGATTTGACTTTCAACGTAAATGTTATAATGGTGAACCCAATTTCAAAGCCATTTCAGGATTTTCAAATTTAAAGATCGTATTCTGTGAGTCTCCTTTGGCTGTTAACTTATTCCCCAAACGAAGTTCCCAGTCTACACCTATGCTCTTTCTGGAACATGTTGTGAAGTAAAAAATTTGAATTGAAAGTAGGTAAATAATTTAATTTGATTAAAGTGACTCCCTTTTTGCAACCGGCTGTGTTATGTTTAATTGTGTTGTGATGCATGCATCCGTTCCTTGTTTTGTCGTCCACTACACTCACTGTATGTGAATGACGCTAAGGCACAAAATGTATGGCGCACAGGACTTTTTGTTAACATCATTGTGACGTGTTTTTGGCTTTTTTTAACAGAACATCTTTCCAGCGAACAGTTCAATATGACCTTCGATATTTCAGTTTCTTCTATTCTTACTCTCTTTTAAGTAGATTTAGATCCTAACGGACGCACTCAAATCTATAACTGAAATGACTCTTAGCGAAATTGCAACTGAATAATTTTTCACCTAATCACTGGAAATAATTATTTGTCTCAACTTTGTTTTTCTAATAACAGCCATTACACTGTGTAATCAGCAGGTCGTAGTAATTAGTATTCTTTGTATTCTGCTTTTGATACCACGATTTCAGTCCTGTATTTTTACGCCTACCAATACTCTTGTGATGATCCAAAATAGATCAACATCTCCTCCAAGGGGGGTAGCATTACGAATAAACCCAGCCGATTGATCACAACTGAAGGACAATCAACTTCAGCAGGCCTAGGTTTCCTTAATCATTAAATGAGTGCTTCCCCAAATGGAATACAAATGCAATACGATAATATTCCAATATAATTGACTTTATAATGGTTATTTATCAGATTCCGCTCTAGCTGTGTGCGATGTGATAACTGAAATCAGCTGAAGAGAAACCATCGCTTCCTTCCAATCGTGCATGATCTTTTTTTACTTGAATCGGCTCAATTGTCTTGATCTATGGAAGTTAAGGACAGCTTAAAATTATGGAGCAGTTGTTTTAGTCTGATGCTGGGTACTAAAATAATAAATATTTAATAAAAGTCCATGAAACCAGAGTAGCCAATTGACATCACGGGCAGTGAACTTGGCAGTGATACAGTTTTGCGAAAATTTCGCAGTGTTCTTAAAATATGAACAAAACAAGTTCACAATTTGAAGGCTTTATGAGGAATGGAAAAAACTTGTTCATAATTTTTTCGATTGTTGCTATCAATTTTAGGCTAGCTGCAAGCAGTAACGCGCGCAAGCGGCTCGATAAGTCTTGCGAAAACGGCATCTGTTTCAGGGAGCAAGACAAAGGACCGTGTATTCCCAGTGATGACGAACCAAGGCTGTTCAGATGGGATCCTATCAAGGTATGTTGCTGCTAAAGAAATGAAGGTATAATCAAACAAAGAAAATGCTACTTCAGGGAGAGTACAAAGAATTGGACCATCATTACAATCTACAGAAGCTCTAAGTTGAAGCAGCGATCTATAGTAGCAGAAATCCATTTGTGGTCGAAATAATGTAAACATTGTAATAATGCACGTACGTGTCCAGCACAGAGCTATGTGCCAAGCCAGATAATTACGTGCACTGCGCTACAACTTCTCAAGTTAAGAACGATGCAATGGCGCCATTTTTAAATTCAACCAAAATTAGCACGTGGTACCAGCAAAAATAGCAACAGAACCTTGAACAGGAAACCTGCTACTTTAAAAAACAGAATTCAAAACAGCTTTCTAGCTGAAAAGAAACGGTGAAAATCGTCTTCCTTATGCAAAAATAAGATAAATGAGAACATTGCAGTGGGGGGAGAGACGTCTTTCCGAGAATGCTGAATTCGCTCTCGAGAAAAAAGAGAGGAGTGAATTTTGAAATATAACCTGTCTTAACCGTTTAGTGTCTTTCTTTGAACTTCCCCTTGCATTTTCACCCTTGAATAAAATGCAAAGGTCATGAAAATAAAGGAAAGGATCATTAAGTTAAGAAGCTCCTGATTGTCAAACAAATTCTCCTTGTCAGTATCATAACAAATCAAAGAGACAGCATGGAGAACATGAATACTAATAAGGTGTTATTACCATAGAAAGGTCACGTGAGAGAGCTTGAACTTGAAGAGAGAAAAACATACAAGATGATTACACTCGCATCTAAGCCTCCTCTATTTGGTGAGTTTAACCTTTCGTTGCCTATGATCTGACTGTTAATTCTCTCCTCTGGTTGCTGCACATTTCTTTTTAAATCAGTTACGAGAATTTGGTGTTAGATCAAGTTAACAACTACTACCACAGCGATAAGTGTCTCTCCTCATACTTACCAGCTGATTGCTATTATTTTCCCTCGCAAAAGAGGGTTGCTACCTCCCACTTAATCATCATTCGTGTAAAGCTAGTTAAATCCATCTTTATTTATTACGATGTACCTTTCAATCGGTAAAAGTACATGACATAGTGTTCCCACCTCCCCTTGGAAAGCGATCGGGCCATTTGATTGATCAGTACATACCAAGGCGTCGATTAAAGACAATTCAGGCCACTTTCATCCCCAAATGATAAACATTCTCTTGCTACATGACAAAGTAAAGTTATTTTTCTTTATTTGATTATAGAAATACCGGATTTTCTTAGCGAAAGCGAAGCCAATCACATCATAAGTTTAGCTGAAAAGGTCGGCCTCCGAGGAAGCGACCTTCACCTCGATGAGGAACTCGAGAAAAACAAAGAATTTGTAAGAGGTATGCTAGTTAACAAGGAAGTTTGGTATCAAGGATGGTCCTTAGAAGCTTCAGTTTACAAATTCATATCAAAGATAAGAGCTATATCGCGGTGATTTAAATATCTTTTGTTTTTGCGTCTAAAATTGGGGGTGTGGGTGCATTGATCTAAAAATAGAAGAGAAGGCTCGAAAATAGGGGTTATTGAGGAAGAGAACCACCAAAGAGGAACCGAAATATAACGGAACGAAAAAATGATCGATGATTAAGACTGAGACGGACCGCAAAAGTAAACCCTGCAAAAACTGAGGCTAAATATTCCCTTTACTTTGTTTACTGAGTGGAGTGCCCCATTAGATGCTTCTGCGCTTTTCCTAATTAATCCCTCTAATTTTCAATTCATTTTTTTTTCAATCTATCTCTTTATCAATTGACATATCTATTTCGCAATTATAACTATTTAAAAATAGCATAAACTTCGCTCTTAATCCACAAGCCTTGACGTAGCTCGTTCAAATTAGTTCTGTATCTTGGCCCAGCAAGTTCCAGGAATCTCCAAACTCTGAAGAGCTGTTATTCAAGTGAAGAGAGATAAATTGTTCATTTAACCTTCATTTTTTCTCTAGGAAATGCAAGTGGTTCTCTGGGAATGTTCTTAAACTGGGACAAAAATGAAGACGGGCTCATTACAAGGGATGAGGTAAAGATGATAATTAAGTTATTAATTTTAGCATCAATTAAAAATCAAATTTGCATTGGTCATGCCTTACTTGGCTCTGTGATTGGCTAGGAGAACTCAGGCCACACTCTCAATCTATTTGTTTTACTTCTCATTGGCTCCATGTGATATCTTCCTCAGTCTTAATTTGTCGTTGTGAATATTTTGGTTTCATTGTTACGATACTTCCTCGAAAAATAGTCTATCGTCCTCTTTTGGTATTTCACAACAATGTGTTACTTTTATCTTTCCTTTAGATCATTGATTTTGCTGCAGACTTCAAATACCTTTATCTGAGTCCAACAGAAGTAGATGACATGTAAGGATGATGATCACTTCTTTATATATCACTTGATGTTTTCTTCTTCGTGATCTTAACTCGAAGGCATAGATCCTGCATTAGCTCCAACTTTTCTCTTCATTTTAGGATAAGCAAGCTAAATATTTGGGAGTTTGATGATGGTAAGTAGCACAATGAACCATTTTCCCGCAAGAAAATTTAATAGTTTCTCTCCTTTGTTTTAAGCAGTTTCTGCTTGAGGACCAAACTGATAGTCCTGTTTTGCAATGGCTTCGCATCACTTCTCTACGTGTTCAGCATATGAAACCCGGGCAACCATCTCAGCCAATCAGATGCAAAGCTAACACCCTTCAAATACTTCACTTTCGGAAGCTTGCTTGTTTTTTCTTTTGAATTGTGCGCTGATAAACTCGAAACTTCAACATCGACCCGTTCGTGCACGGGACGGGGTGGGAAATTTGAACCGTTAGTGTCAGTTCTTTCCTGCGGGATACAAGTGTTCTATCTTTAAATATAAAGGTGTTTAAGGTAAATAGTTTACTCTCGCAGGCAAATGGTTCAGAAGAAAAGGTCTACAACGTCTAGATTTTAAAGCTTGGTCAATGTGCAGAAAGTTACGGTCGCTGATTTTGCCTTTAAAAATAAATGTGGGTGAGGCATTCGAACACAATTTTTGTCCCGGGGGCGGGAATTTGCACAAACCAATCTTCAAAATTCAAAGTTCAAAGGCCCTGGGGTTGCCCCGGGGGGGGGGGATGTTGAAGTTTCAAATTGATCGACGCAGTATCACTGGTACCTTTTGATACTTCCCTTTGTTTGACCGATTGTTGTGGTTTCTAGGTTTAGTCATCACGTCAATTGATAGAAATCCACCTTTGACTTTTTTATCAATACATTATAGATCAAGTAACCCCAGTAGAATTTACCACGCTGCCAACTGCCGCCATGGACGGATACATGAACAAAATCAAAGAAAAGCATCCAGCTCACAGGGATAGGTTTAGTAACCAGGCCTGGTTAATTCAAGGCAAGCGAGCTGACCCCTTGTTACAAACATTACGAAAGAGGTAAGCTGGGAGACTGGATCCAAAGTCGATCTGGCAGACTCGATGGTGTTAACTGTCAGCCGTAAAACGACCAAAACGTTAGCGTAAAAATCGACAAATTCT